GTCCCTCACCAGCCCTGCATAAAGAACCACCCTGGCCCCTGGGCAGGAGTTAAAGGCTGGAAAGTGTCCTAGCGAGGAACCAGTCTAAGATTCGAATTCACAGAAACCGTCAGAGGAGCCACTCACRAGCCAGGTACTGGATCCTTCTCCACTCTGCAATGGAAAGACAGGGGGTCACCGGGGGGCGTGAGGCAGGCGGGAATGGGGAGACGTGCCTGGATCTCGGGGTCGGAACTTACTGAGTTCATACTGCAGCTTCTCTGGAAAATGAGCAGAGAGATAACAACATTAGGGGTGAGGATTTTCTTTTCTTTTTTTTCCCCCGGAAAGCAAACATACAGCGACCCGGGTCCCCGAGGTCCCCGAGGTCCCCGCGGTGCAGCCCGGGGCCGGGGAGGGGCGTCCACTCCCTCGCCGCCCACCTCTCGCGCTCCGCTCCTGCTCGGTTTCCTCCTGGGCCTTCTCTTTCTGCACCCGCTCCTGCTCTTTCTCCGCGGACAGAGCCTTGTTTACTTTCTGCTGTCGCCACAAGAAGAAGCCGGCCCCTGCGAGCAGCAGCAGCAGGATGGGCAGGGTCGCCCCCAAGGCGGAGGTCCAGGGCCGCGCGCTGGAGAAGAAGGGGCCTGCGAGCGAGGGCAGCGAGCAGTTGTCAGATGGTGGCAATGGAAGTGCWCGTGGACGCTGTTTCTCCTCCACACTGAAAGTAGGGCTCTCTACACCTGCATATACTACCTCTGCCGTCTGCGCCAAGATGAGCTCGGAGCTCCCCGGTTGGCACCGGGAACGCCTCTTCCTTCGCAGTGGGGCGCGGCCCCTCGCGTGGATGTCGCCCACCAGCGACAGTCTGCGCTGTTTCTAACCGTGTGCAGTCGCAATGCTCTTAAGAAATAACCTAGGACATGCCGTCTCGGTGGGCAAACTGATCTGTAAGGTAACCTCCCAGAAGAGGAATTTGGGATCAATAAATGCGTAGTTGGATAGATATCACTAGGAAGCCCCAGTTGGAGGCAGTGCTGATGTACATACTTCAAGCACATCAAATATACAGCCAACAGAGAGCCACCTCCTCCCCTCATTCCTGCCACCTCCATTTTCTTTTCTTTTTTGGCCACTCTCATAAGTRGAAAAAGTTTCAATCTGTTTGTCTAGTGAATGAGATTATGGGTCCTTTTGAGTGCTATTTCCTTTCCCGATAACTAGTGGTTCATGTCTTTTGTTAATTTTTCTACTAGGTTGTCATGAATCTCCCTCTATTTTAAGTGAGATTTTCCTTTATGATGTGATAAGTTATATYGTATATGACATATATTTCTATTTTGTCGTTTGACTATGCTTAAGGATCTTATCTTTGTCACCCTCTATTCCCATTGCCTTGTCACTGTTTCTGAGAGGCAGGGGATGGTCAGTCAATGCAGATGGCATCAACAGCTTTCTGGGAGAGAGAAGCTCCCACCTAGCAAGGAGAAGGCTCTGGGTCCCTGCTCTGGACATTGAGTTCACTACAAAGACCCAAGTCAACAGCAGAGATCTCACAGGAGAGACTCAGGCAATCTCCGTCTTTCAGCAGCCACAGTGCAGTTTGAATCCCGGGGCTAAGCCATGTACTGACCTGCGATGGAAATCTTGGCTGACTTCTCCTGGCCGAGAAGGGAATTTCTGATGGTACAGGATACCCCGGGCCCAGAGCCACCCCTCAGGATCACTGAGGCTGCCACTGTGTATAGGCCTGCTCCATCTGCATCTGCAGGTGCTGCAGCAGCTGGGATGCGCTTCCCCGAGGCGTCTCTCCACTCTACTTGGGGCTGGGGGAACCAGCCGGTGGATGTGCACTCCAGATGGATCCCTCCATCCTTATGACCCTTCATTTCAATGTGAAGATCAGAACCCAGTGCTGTGGAGAGAGAAGCCCGAATAAACTCTTGGAGCCTCTTGCAGCTGGGAGGGTGTCAGTAGGGATCATTCACATCAGATAACAAGGCAAGGAGAGCTCCGTTCAGGAGCAGATCACAAAAGCAGGTCCCTGAGGGGAAGACTACAGTGCCCAGGCCAGTAACTGTGGGACTGTTCCCCAGAGGGAGGAGCACAGGGGGCTTTCTTGAGACCTAAGGGAAGACAGTCATGCACTGAGGGGCTTCTTGAGAGGGGAGGGGCTTTGGCAAGGGAAAGCAACCCACTGAGGCGACTCCCAGGGAGGAGGCCCAGGAATAGACCTCTCCTCTCTCCCCCCTTGCTTCAGCTCCCCATTTTCCACACCCCACCAGAAGCCACAGGGCCAGGGACTGTTCTGTGGAAGAGAAAAGTGGCCTTGACCCAGGAACCTGAGGTCAGGGCGAGGCATTCTTTGAACACGGGCAATTTCACAGAACACTAACAAAAACCAAAGCACACCACAACTGTGTCTGGACATAAAAGCATGAACATTGTCCCAACCATAACAACCAGACACCGCAGCCTGCAGTGGAGACCCCTGCAGCTGGSAGGGTGATGGTATGGATCACTCCTTACCTGCACAAGTCAGCTCTACTCCCACCTTGGTCCTTTCTGTCCAGAGAAGATGTATTAAGATTCCCACCAGAAAATTAGCCTTCTTTCCATTTTCCTGACAGCCCATCCAGAGCAAAGGCCCGAGTGAGTGTGTAAACCCTGCCCCAGGCCCTGGATACAAGCTCAAATTCCATACTAAGTTTTCCCTAGCACCCTCTTACCCAGGCACCCCACAGTTCCCCGTGATGTGTATTCTTAGCTGAAACAAAGGTTTGACTGCAGGTGTATTCCAGGGGTGGGGGTGGGGGGTCACTGGCTGAGAATAGTGACAAGTGAGCTTCCCAGGACCCATGGTAGTCTGACTTGGAGGGGCCGCAGTGCCATGCGGTACACGGTTAATCCAAACAACTGTACCAGCCATGGAAGAGAGGATTTCTTGCCCTTCCTGTCCCTGTCCCCATGTGTGAGGATGGTGTTAGGCCTGAGCCTAAGCAACTCCATTTTAAAAACTCCAGTTTGAAACCTGCAGTCTCACCAGGCACACCCACAGAGCCCTCCAATGTGGCCTCAAACAAGTCACTTCCCCTCACCCTGATAAACAGAGTGAAGCCCCTGGCAGGCTGATAGAGGGAAAAGGGAGAAGATCAGGGTGGGGACCACCAGACCAGATGTTTCTGTCCCCAGGGTAAATAATGTCACTGAGAAATCAGGTGGTAGCTTATAAGGATTGAAAGGGGGGTCAAAACCCCYTAAATTTAGTATAAATAATAGAGCTGATGAACGGGATTCAGCCAGCCGAAACAAGGATGCACTCGAGCAGGAGAGCCTGATGAGGACCTGACATCCCATCACTTGTCATCCTTCCTGATCCTCTGTGTGATCCTCACTGCTCTCAAACTCTACCCCCTCGTCTGGACCCTGGTGAGAGCCCCAGCTTCTCCCTATGACCCTTTCCTCAACAGGTCGTCCATTCCACACCAGGAAAGGCCTGCCTTGGTTCCGGACCTGGTCTCGGCGGTCTGAATGAGAGTGCACCTGCTGGACATAAAGCCTAAGGCTTAAGACTTGTGAACTTKGCATGCAGAGGGAATGCCTGTCATTAGCCTGACATGATTAAGTGTGTTTTGCAGTGCTTAGAATCAGTCTAGAATTGTTTGCCATGAAGTGGTCATGTCCATGGCAGTGCCCAGCATTAAGGATTGTCGTTTTCTTGGTTAAGAACCTATAGAGTGAAACTGTATTGAGTAATTTGAGTGAATAAAGCATTGAAAGGGACAGAAGCACGTGACATTCTTTATTTCTCCCCTCGACTGCATACGTTGCAATTTTGCCCCCTGGTGACAACATGTCACTAGTTAGAACCCTGGTGGCAAGCAGGAGGGAGCTCTGTGGCACAGGAGAAAGCCTTTCTGCAAGGAAACCTGGTCTTCTTGGGGCCTTGGGAGGATGGGCTGGATGCAGCAGAGCACTTTCTGGCTGACTTGGGGCAGAAGATCTGGCTGACTTGGGCAGGATCCCTGGCTGACTTGGG